TTCTATGGCTCCATATAGAATGGATCTAAAGGAGTTAAGAGAATTAAAAGCCCAATTGTAAGAGCTACTCGATAAGGGATTTGTGAGACTTAATGTTTCTATTTGGGGAGCATCTGTGCTATTTGTGAAAAAAAGGACGGGTCTATGCGATTATGCATCGACTACCGTCAGTTAAATAAAGTAACAATAAAGAATAAGTATCATCTTCCGATGATTGATGATCTGTTCGATCAACTGAAAGACACAATAGTGTTATATAAGATAGACATGAGGTCAGGGTACCACCAATTAAAGATAAAAGAGAATTATATTTCAAAGACAATTTTTCGGACGCGATATGAACACTACGAATTTGTGGTGATACCATTTGGATTGACTAATGCTCCTGCAACATTTATGGACTTGATTAACCGAGTATTCCATACTTACTTAGATCAATTCATGGTGGTATATATAGATGATATTTTGGTGTATTCCAAGTCAAGGAAGGAACATGATGCTCATTTTCGGGTAACTCTTCATACGCTTTGAGAGAAGAAGTTGTATGCCAAATTGTCCAAGTGTGAATTTTGTTTAGCTGAGATTTCTTTCCTTGGTCATATATTCTTTGCATAAGGCATAAGAGTACATCCCAAAAAGATTCAAGCTATAGTGGATTGGAAACCCCCAAAGAATATTCATAAAGTTTGAAGTTTCTTGGGGCTTGCTGGTTATTATAGACGGTTCGTGAAGAAATCTTCAATGTTAGCTTCGCCGCTAACTAAGTTGTTACAGAAAGATGTGCCTTTTGTTTGGTCGGAGAAATGCCAAGAAAGTTTTGAAATGTTAAAGAGAATTTTAACAAAGGCCCTAGTGTTTGTACAACCTAAGTCAGGTAAAGACTATGTAGTCTTTAGTGATGCATCTCACAATGGGTTGGGATGTGTGCTTATGCAAGATGAAAAAGTTATGGCTTATGCCTCGAGACAGATGAAGAACCACGAGAAAATTACCCAACACATGACTTGGAATTGGCAGCGGTCGTGTTTGCTTTGAAAATTTGGTGTCATTATTTATACGGTGAGCGGTGCCATATTTATACGGATCATAAGAGTCTAAAGTACTTGTTGACTCAGAAAGAACTGAATTTGAGACAGAGAAGATGGATTGAGCTTTTAAAATATTATGATTTGATCATCGATTATCATCCAAGAAAAACTAAAGTGGTAGCTGATGCACTTAGTCGAAAGACTTTTACAGCTCTACGGGCTTTGGATATGTATATGTCTTTAAAGGAAGATGATGCCTTGATTGTTGAACTTAAATTAAAGTCGATGCTTTTGGATCAGGTAAAAGAGCTGCAAGGTCAAGACGATAAATGCTTGGCGAGAATGGCGCACGTAGAAAAAGAAGAGATCAAAGACTTTGGAATGAGGGTTGATGGATGTTTATATTATCATATAATATTTTGCATTCCCGATAATGAAGAATTAAAGAAAAATATTCTTTCTGAGATACATTATAGTCCTTTGGCTATGCATCCAGGCAGGAATAAATATGTATAAGGATATAAAGAGTTATTATTGGTGGTCTGGCATGAAAAAGCTGCATCTGAGTTTGTTGCAAAATGTTTGACATGTCAGCAAGTGAAAGTTGAACATCAAGTGTCTTCCGAATTGCTACAAGCGATATCCATTCCTGAGTGGAAGTGGCAACGAGTTACAATGGATTTTGTTTCAGGGCTACCTTTGTCACCAGGTAAAAATGACTTAATATGGGTAATTGTAAACAGATTGGCCAAGACAACTCACTTTATTCCAGTTCGGGTAGATTACTCGATGGATAAATATGCGGAATTGTATGTAAAGGAAATAGTTTGGCTGCATCGAGTGCCCTTATAGATAGTGTCCGATTGATGGTCCTGATAGTCCTTTGGTTGGGTATTCTCTCAATGGACCCTTATTCATATCAACATCTCCACAAAATTCAAAGTTAGATTAGAATTTCTCATGCATCCCCGACTAAAAAGTTGTAATGGAAATGAGAAGAGATAAGCGAAAAAGGAAATTCGAGATCAAAAAGGAAATTGGGGTTTAGAATGAAATTGAGGGTTGTGTTGCAAGTTTTAAAAGTTGGGGGACCTAAATGCAAGCGTTTGAAAAGTTTAGTGACCATATTACAAATGATAATGTAACGGTGTTAAATGACCGGTTACGTCGGGAACCATATTGCAAACGGACTAAATGTTGAAAGATTGTATTGTAAGTTTTAAAAGTTGAGGGACCTAAATACAAGTATCAGAAAAATTCGATGACCATTACTATACTTTACTCTACTTTTTATCGGCTTTAGTGCTACGTTGAAGAAAATCCCAAATAAATGTCTAAAAACTAGTACCCGACAGGCAACGAATTAATTAAAGAAATGAAATACACGTGGAAAATATATTTATTATGCCAAGGAAATACGTTTTCCCCTATAAATTTAGGGCCGAAGAATTTTACCAAACCATAAATCCAAAAATCAATCAACTGAATTAAATCAAACAACAACAAAATTAATCGGCATAATGTCAAAATTGGCTCACAATATTAATTAAAATAGTTATTTTGGTATTTATTATATTTTAGAGTTTTATAACTCATACATTTCATTTTAAGATAAAAATATCACTATGTGAATGGAAACTATTAGTTAATAGATAATTAATGTTTTAAAATAGTGAGCTGTTTTAACTTAAAATGAAATATTGAAGGCTAAAATACTTCAAAAAAATAACTAAAGTGATTATTCTGTCAAATGTTACAGTCTTTTTTACCCTAAAATAAAATGTTGAGTGCCATAATGCTAAAAACTATAAGGGTCAAGATAATTATTTTAATAAATATTAGGAGACTAATTTTGACATTATGCCAAAGTGATTATTCATTATTATTTGATTAACATTTTGAAAACGTGCGACTAACACGTAAACAATATTTTCGTTGATTTTGACTGCAAGAGTTGCCTTTTACTTTTGCATCCCCCAACCCCAAATCAACTTGTGCAAGTTGTTTACTTAATGTTTTACATAAAGTTGTTTACTTAATGATTTACATAAACATTGAGATATGGCATCTCCTTTGTTATTATGAATTAAAGGTAGTTTGCTAAAATCTAACCTAAGTTCAAGTTCCATCGATTAAATATTTTCATATAATATATTAATGCATTTACGGACGTATGATTTTATACTAGGAGATGAAATTAAACTTTTAAAATTTTAGGAGGGACGAACTAGAACTTATAAAATTTAAAGGGGACAAAAACAAATTTTCAATAGAAAAAAATTAAAATATATAATAATTTTAAAATTTCAGAGGGGCGATTTCCCCCACCTGCCTTCTCGGTCCATCTTGGAACCTACCATTAGGGGAGTTAAAAAATACCCGACTTCGAACTACCCTACCCATTAACCCACTGACTCAGTATATAATTATCGAATATTTTAGAGGTGAATATCCGATTTTACGAGCCGGGTACCCGACTCATTTTTTTGGTGGGTTTTTGGGTTGGGCCCAGGTCACAAAGTTACACTTAAACGGGCACACGTCGACCTGGCTCCCCTGCTCTATTTTTATTTTAAATTAAAATTTTCATTTTAATTTCAAAATTATTTTACCCTAACATTCTAAATCTCTATTTTTCAACTTATTTCACTTTAACATTTAAATTACTTCTTACACTATTTATTTTAATCATAAATTATTTTAAATTTATTTGTAATTTTATAATTTTATTTTTAAATTATATAATTTGATTATAAATTTTATGCATTTGTTATGTATTATAATTTTTTAAGCTTTAAGTTTTATATTTTTTAAGTGGATTTTTTCTAAAAAAGTTGATATAAATTTAAAAATAAAATAAATATTAATCGGATACTCGTTATCTAAAATGTGAATATTCAGGTTTTATAGATATTTAATTTACGTATACTCGCCTCTTAAAAATTGAATCATGGGCTAAATTTGTATGATCTGAAAATTTCGAATACCCAACATTTTCGATAATAAAAAGTACGAATATTCAAATGTGAACACTCCTACCAACCATTGAGACGCACTGCATCCACACCCTATTATGTTATAACCATAATTGAAGGTTGTCCCTGGGATGGGATGGGCATGGGTCGAACCAGACGGGTTTAGATTCAACCCGATCCGACTTGATTGAGTTAGGTTTTTTTTAAAAAAGATTGGATTCTGATCAGGTCGAGTTGGATTTTTTTCAAAAATGATGTTCGGGTCGAATCGAGTTAGAGTTTAGAGTGAAAAATACTCAATCCGACCCGATCCAAAAAAAATTATAATTTTACTTTATATATTTAGGAATAATTATAATAATATCTCTCTACATTTTTTTCAATTAATTTACTGTTTTTATTGAATAAAAATAATATTTTTATTATTATTTCGGGTCGGGTCAGGTCAGGTCGATTTTTAAGTTATATATTGAGTCGGGTTCTAGTCAGGTAAAATCTTATTTTGATGGTCGAATCGGTCTCGGATGAAGAATTCCTTAATATCGAATCGGGTCAGGTGGACCCAAAACCCGACTCATGTCCGTCCATGTCCCTATTTCAAAAAAAAATAAAGTTTTCTCCACCCTGTTGAATAGCTTCTCAAATATCAGATCATGAATAAAATTGTGTGACTCAAAAATTTCAAATATATAATATTTTGGATAAAAAAAATATGGATATCCATGTGAACACTCCTACCTACCAACCATTGTCATCACCCTATTAAAAAAAGTGTTACTGTCCTACCCACCATAACAATTTTCACATTATGTTATAGTCAATAATTGAAGGTTGTCCCCACCCTATTGAATACGTGTCAGATATGTAATGTATCAAACAAGTGGTCTGTCTTGGCTCCTCTGTTTTAGGGCCTATAAATCGAACCTCGATAGCAGAGCATCTCCAAAACCAATCGAACCCCTCCCCAGGAAGTAGTGCTCAACCAGCAGTGCGGATCATGGGATCCATAGTGGTAGATTTTTTTCAAGTAAACCCCAAGGAAGCCTCTTCCATTGATCTTGTTAAACTCTTGTTTTCTAGCAACATAAAGAAGAGGAAATTTATCAATTCTTCTTACGACAGAGAGGAAAGTTTCGCATATAGGTTTATTATAGTCCTTTCGGTACTGGTACAAAAGTTTATGCTTGTGATGTCGCCCCCAATGGAGTTGATTGGGAACATTCTAGAATATGTACTCAACTTTCATCACTCTAATGGTGGCTTCATTGGTATCCTTAGAAATATCATGCACGGTATTTATTTAATCTTTACGTCCATTACTTGGTAGTTTTCCACTAACATTGTCTAATTATTTATCTCTGTGCTTTGAACAGTGAAGGTCGTGATTCCACAGGAACTCTGCAGAATTTCTGTCTTTAATAGGACTTTTAGACGGAAGAAAGAAGTTAGACAGTGAAATTAGACATGGAGATCCCATGTATTATCCAGCACTTTCGATTATGGCTTGTAAAACAGTTTACAGCAATGCTGCTTATAACAAAGCTGTAATCGAAGATTCATGGAAGGTATATACGAGTGCTTATAATTGTTATTTATCAAAGAAATTATATCAGTAAACTTCCATTTAATTGTTTGCAATGTTTTTCCATCTGCAGATGGAGTTCTTGAAATTCGAAAATTACTGGAATGGTACGTCGGTACCCATTTCAATTACTTCATTTTCATTGTTTTTCAATTTATTAAGTGATTGGTTTTGTTAATTATTGATGACTTGGGACAGATTACACTGGAAAACCCGACACACAAGTTGTGATGTTTCGGGATAGAGATGTTGACCACGACACCATCGTTGTTTGCTTCAGAGGAACCGAACCGTTTAATCTCAATGATTGGTGTTCGGACGTAGACTTGTCTTGGCACGAAATCCGCGACGCCGGAGGATCCACAGCGGCTTCTTGAAAGCCTTGGGGATGCAAACTGATGTAGGATGGCCGGAAGAAGTGGACAACGATTCATACTCCGGTGGCCGCAGAGCAGCGTTGGCTTACTACGACGTAAGGGACACGTTGAGAACCCTTTTGAGGCAAAACCCCGACACCAAATTTATAGTGACGGGCCACAGTTTGGGCGGCGCGCTGGCTGCTCTCTTCCCGGCGATTTGCTTTTACCACGACGAACGATTGTTGCTCGACAGAATGGAGGGGATTTACACGTTCGGACAACCCAGAGTCGGAAATGAAGCGTTCGGGAACTACATGAAAATGAATTTGGATAAGCGTGGTATTGAATTTCGCAGATATGTTTACTGTAACGATATGGTTCCTAGGGTTCCTCCTAACTTCGAGTTCAAGCACTTTGGTACATGCGTTTATTACGACAGCAGATATCAATCTAAGGTAAAAAAAATCATTTTTCCCTGTTACTCAAACTAAATTTTACTGCCGATTAATATATCTTATTTAAAATTTTGTGTGGGGATTTTAATTTGAATGCAGGAAGTTGAGGAAGTTCCATATGAGAACTACTTTTCAATTTGGGGGGCTATTGCGATGCGAAGAAACGCCATGTTTGAGCTGCTGAGAGGCTTCTTTCTGGAGAGAAGGTATGGAGAAGATTACAAGGAAAGTTGGCTGCTATTTGGAATGAGAATGATTGGATTGCTGATTCCCGGTTTGCCTGCCCATTGTCCCCAAGATTATGTCAACTCTACTCGTCTCGGAACCGTCGATCTTATTCACCGTATCCTCCACCATTAAAATCCCTCCTCTAGGAGTGCGTGCCCTTGCTAGCTTGTACCAGATCTGAGAGTGGATTTGGCTTCTTCAATTTTAAGATTTCGAGGAATAAAAAAAGAATTACTATATTTGCTTTTGTTTTATCCCACTCCGTGTCTTTCACGTTGTAACTTTTTCCCCATCTTGTAGCAACATCTATATTTTAAATAAGTTGTTTTACGATTTATAATTACGATTTATAATTACGATTTATGTGCTGTTAAAAATATATGATATTTAACGGGAATGATTAATTTGATTCATATTTAAATCTCTAATGACATGAATTGCTATTGGAAGCCTTTCTAAGATTTATTTCATTTGGCACAAGATACCATAAATATTCTTATGACACTTACTTTTTTTAGTAATATAAGGTAAGTATAATTAATATTATATGTTCTAAAAAAATTTAACCATTTAAAAATGAAAATTTAAATATCTTATAATTTTTTTGAAATTTAAAATATTTAAAGAATAATTATTACTCTTTTAATTATGAGAAAATAACCTCAGATCAAAAATGTCTTATAATATACGATTTTAATCAACTTTTTTTTGGATTTGTCAAAATGACCAACTAAATCGTAATGCGATCGATAATTCGCAACGCGATCTCCGGTATCGCAAATCAATTTCCAGATTCGTAACGCGATTCTGACTATCGCACTGCGATTTTCCAAATTCGCGTTGCGATTTTCCTAATTCGCAATGCGAATACGTAAATCGCAATGCGAATACGTAAATCGCAATGCGAATACTTAAATCGCAATGCGAATACATAAATCGTAATGCGAATACGTAAATCGCAATGCGAATCTGACTATCGCAATGCGATTTACATAGCGCCATTCGTATCAACGCGTATTTTTTTTTCAAATTCCAAACACGAATATATTAATATATCGAAACACTGAACCGTCCACAGTATATCCGGTAATCGCAACTCATAACTTAAAACCTTAAATCACAACTCAGTCTCATCTCCATCTCACTCTCTAAGGCGACATCCGTCCCCATCTCCGATGAAATCAGTCCCCATCTCAAACGATATCAGTCTCCATCTCCGGCGAAATCATTTACGGTCAGAAATGGAAAATCAATCAAATCAACCACCTATGGTTAGTTTTTTTAATTATTTTTATTTTGAAATTTTTGCATTATTATTAGGTTTTTCATATTGAAATTGATGATAAGTTTACTGGTGTTTTCAATAATAGATTAACATTTCACTTTGATTGCTTATTATATTCATTCGATTGTTGCAATACTGCTAAACTGTTTAGTCTTTAACCTGTGAAGTTAGTATTTGTCTTTGTTTTGTCTTTTGGTTGAAGTAATGCAATACATTCAAGTTTCTTTCAATTTTAGTATTTGAAACCGAGAATGACTATCGCAATGCGATTCTGTCGTTGCGATTTTCATTTCGCGTTGTGATTCTTGCGTTGCGATAGTCAAATTCGAGTTGCGATTTTCATTTTTCGTGTTGCGATTTAAAGTTTCAGAAACTATTCTTCTTCTGCAAATTGAAACTTGAATGAATTGCATTACTTCAACCAAAAAACAAAAACAAATACTAAATTCACAGTGTTGCAAATTTAAGTTTGAAGAATAAACTACTACTCTTTATGTTTATTGTTCTTGTTATATCTTCACAGTGTAGTTTTTGGCATATCTAAATTGGTATGTTTATTGTTTTTGCAGAACTTTTATTCGGCTCAATTGACCTTAAGAAATAAAGTAAGCCTGGCCAAAACAATTGCGTCGAAGCTTTCACCTGCACAAAGAAAAATATTTGAGGATACTTGCTTCGGGCCATGGTTGAAAGTACAACATCCGGGTGGAGATGCTATGTTGACCCATCTGTTTCTTCAAACCATGACTAGCGATCTACCAGAGACTATACAACGTCGTGATGAAGAGATATGGTTTGATTTTCCACCGGCGTATACGTGTTTTGGGCGGGAGGAGTTTGCTTAATCATCTACGCTTCGGACACGATGATGTAGATCGGTACACTAGACATATTACCCGCCTATCATGGTTTTCCTGGGTTTTCCTGAGCTGTCAACAGAAGTCGAATTTACACGTGGAAGACTTGACGAGATTATTGAATAAGAAAGATGGTTTTACTCGGATGGATGACGTTGATGTTGTCTGAGTATGCATTCTAATACTTTTGCAAGTTGACTTTTTAGGCAGATAGGCTCGACAACCTATTCCTAATGATCTGATTAAATTGGTAGATGACCTAAATGCATGGAATCTGTTTCCGTGGGCTTCGTATCTATGGAGAGCTACATGGAATAAGTTGTCGTCTGCCTTTAATGATCATAAAAGTTTGCGTGGCGATGGTTCCAAATACACTTTGTCAGGCTTTATTTGGGCCTTTAAGGTAATAATTTTTATATATGTTTCCAAAATTATAATTAATTCTTTAACAATTACTATGTTTGTTATTATATTGTTTGTAGATTTGGATATTTGAGGTCTTTCCAGCCATGCAAACATATGCATTAAAAACTTCTAATGATATTCCTAGGGCTATTTCCTGCAAGAGGAAACGGTCCTTGCAGCAATGGGAAGATTTACTACCGTATACTACAATAAATAATGTAAGTTAACACAAATACTACCATATGTTTATAAACAAGTTATTACTAGTACACGTTTAACTTTGTTTGAGCTTTTATATTTTTAGGAGGCCAACACTCTATTACAGAGGCTGACACCCATGGAAGCTGAGTTTGCCACTGATTGGTGGCAAGCTAGTAAGCTTTTTTTTGATGGCACGGATGATGAGCAGCCACCACTTCGAGAGCCATCACATCACCCAGAGCCATCACCTGATCGACTCGAATATACACCTCCACAACGAGAGTCATCACCTATTCTGTCACATCATCGAGCCTCTTCTCCACCATCACCTCATGATAGGCGACCGGCAAAGATGCCACGACGTTTATCTCCCTGTTCTCCACCTCCACCTCCACGGGATGATTTAGGGGACTTACGTAATGAGGTCAATGCCTTGCGTGAGGAGGTCGGTACTTTACGCGATGACAATGGTGCATGGCGTGTTGAGGTGTCTACTTTACGTGGTGAGGTAGCAGCTCTACGTGAGATTGTAGCATCGTTGTAGAACGAGGTTCATACTCTACGCAACAAGATAAGTTTAATATTTTTCATATTTAACTTGATGATAAATTTACTCGTAATTTCACTTAGATTGCTTAGTAAATTCATTCGGTTGTTGCCAATACTGTTTAACTGTTTATTCTTTAACCCTGTGAAGTTAGTATTTGTTTTTGGTTGTCTTTTGGTTGAAGTAATGCAATCCATTCAAGTTTCAATTTGCAGAAGAAGAATAGTTTACTATCGCAATGCGAAAATGACTATCGCAACGAGAGAATCGCAATGCGAAATGAAAATCGCAACAACAAAATCGCAACACGAAAATGACTATCGCAATACGAATTTGACTATCGCAACGAAAGAATCGCAATGCGAAATGAAAATCGCATTGTGATTCTCTTGTTGCGATAGTCAAATTCGCATTGCGATAGTCAAATTCGCATTGCGATAGTCAAATTCGCATTGCGATAATCATTTTCGCGTTGCGATTTTAAGTTTCAGATTCTATTCTTCTTCTGCAAATTGAAACTTGAATGAATTGCATTACTTCAACCAAAAGACAAATACTAACTTCACAGTGTTGAAAATTTAAGTTTCAAGAATAAACTACTACTTTTATGTTGTCATTGAACCTGCACTAAACCTATATGTTGTCTTTTAAATGTTTATATAAGCTTACTTCTGGAATGTTATCTGATGCATTTTGTGAACAATGATATAATAATGACTTGGGTGAATACCGTGCAAGTTTGAAATATATTTGTCTTTGTTTTCACTGTTTAATATCATGTCTGTTTATTTACTGATTTATGTATTAATTTATTTTTAGCGGCCCGCTAAGGTGGATGCTCTACGTCAGGTTTTTCTTGCAAGACGGAGTTCACTCATTAGTGCGAAGAATCCGTAAGAAAAAGCCCGACTCACCTGTCATCGTTCAATAGGCCTCCCCTATCGTTCAAGAGGCCCCTATCATCCCTCAAGAGTCCCCTCCCACCATTCAAGAGGCCACTGTCATCGTTGAAGAGGTCCCTCCCAACATTCTAGAGCCCG